AATGTTAGGCGTTTAGGACCTAGCACGTTGAGTCTGAGAAACGCCAATGACTGGCAGATGGGAATGTTGGTGGGTCCACTGTCGTTTGATTTGATCAGCGGATGGTTTGGTGAGGAAAGATTAACCTATCAGAAGATTGGATCTCCTCTCACAAAAATAACTCATAAGAGTTAGAGAATAAGAAGAGACATTCTGACCTTCAGGGTTCGAACGTGAATTTCTTATTCACCAATTCCACAATGATTGGGTTATCCCTAAGAATACCCATGTGGTATTCTTCCGGGAACTTCCCGATGCATTGGATTATCCACCCTCAGCTTCTTTCTTGGAATGGGGCTTGACTTTGTTATCCGACCGGGTTATCCTTAAGAATATTAGCGTAATATCCTCCAGGAACTTCCCGTCAATGGTAGGAAATAGTTTAGACTCATATACCTATTGGAGTATCAGGGAGCAGTTTAACCTCTTATACCGGTAGGAGGAATGAGAAACAGTTTATACTCGTATACTCTTTGGAGTCGTAAGAAGCAGTTTATACTCTTATACTTATCGGAGTGATGAGAAGCAGTTTATACTCGTATACTCGTCGGAGTGTTGAGAAACAGTTTATACTCTTGTACTCTTTGGAGTATCAAGGAGCAGTTTATACTCTTATACTTGTCGGAGTTGTGAGAAGCAGTTTATACTCGTATACTCGTCGGAGTTTGAGAAGCAGTTTATACTCATATACTCGTCGGAGTGTTGAGAAACAGTTTATACTCTTGTACTCTTTGGAGTAATGCCGTTTTCAATTGGTTTACCCTAGCGTTATAACGCCGGCTTCAACCAAGGTCTGGATGCTATTCTTGAGAGCAAAGCAATCCTTGGTGGGATGGAGGATCCTCCTGTGGTACTCGCAGTACGTTGGATCCGCAGAATCGTCATCTTCCTCCTGATGCGTGATGGGCGGGAGTTTGATTTTGTTGTTTTCGAGAAGGGTCTCGAAGATAGCTGGAACGTCTTCGTCTTTGAACGAGTACTCGTTTTGGAGCTCCTTGTCCGAATTCTCTTGTTGTTCCCAGAACTGCTGTTGTGACGTTTGATTATCGTCAATAACCGTTGCAGGTACGTCCCCTTCATCATGAGGTGCGAGATCTGAATCCAGAGGATTAACCATCGGTTGGTTTCTCTCGACCTTTCGCCTTCTGATGAAGCGTTCAGCCTGTTCTCCTCGAGCCTTCAACTCTTTCCAGGTATTGAGCGGCTCTATTCCCATCACGTCCAAGATGTTAATGGACAAGTTGTTCTGACAAGTCTGCAAGAGGAATTCCTCCGTGACGGGATCCCTGCAGTTCATTGCCTGATTGCGGAAGCGTTTGATGAAGGTATCCACCGACTCTCCGCCTTTTTGTTTCTCGTCGAAGAGTGTCCTGATCGACACCTCGGTGTCATCATCGAAGAAATGGGCGAGAAACATGCCTTCCAAGTCCTCCCAGCTGTTGATGCTTCCGGGCTTGAGACGGCGGTACCAATCGAAGGCAGGCCCGCGAAGGGTGCCAACGAATGACCGAACCATCAAAGGCTCGTTGCCCGAGATCACCCCCAAGTGGGACTTGAAGTAGATCAGATGCTGAGTGGGCGAGCCCTTCCCGTTGAACGGCGTGAAGTTGATCAGGTTGAACTTCGCCGGATACGGGATCGAATCCCATTTTCTTGGGTAAGGACACGGAATACTGGTCCTCTTCACCTCTCGAGCAGACATTAGGGCTTCGATTTTTCTTTCGAGCTCCTTTATCTTTTTAGCCTCACCCATATCCTGTTTTGGATAAGTTTCGAGAGGAATCATACGGCCACCCCCAGTGTTGTCATTACTGGTGGGTCCACCCCTAGTGTTGTTATTTTTAGTGGGGCCACCCCCAGTATTCTTGGGCGGTGCGTCGGCCATGACGATTTCAACCACCTCCGGATTGCTGCCAACTGCGGCGTTCTGGATGCGATGGCTGGATTCCACTAGCTGATTTGACAAAGCTCGGATTCGTTGATCGTGCATTTGTCTCATCTCTTGCATAGCCACTTCCATTTCAAACTTGAAGATTTCCTTCTGCTTAGTCAGGGCCTCTTCAATGATTTTGGCTATCTGATCTGTATTGACCATGAGCACCTCTCGAGCTTGTCCTATGCTAGACGTTGTCTCGTCAGAAGCGAGAGCGGAATAGGAATCCGAGAGTTCATCATCGGCTTCATGGACTCCATGGTCGTTGTTATATCCGACGGCTTCTAGCTGAAGCTGAGCTATTCCCGAATCGACCCTGCTTCCTAGAGAGAAATTAGGGTCGGAACTACTTGAAATGATTGGGGAATTTCCTTTGTTGACCATGTTGATGGTAACTTCTAGGAGTTCATCATCTCGGTCAACCGATCCTCTTTGGTGTGAATGCCTTGATTTGGGCTTCATCATTCCATCGGAAATTCCCTCGAATATCGAAACCCTCTGTGGAGCGGTCTTGGGGCAGCTACAGGTTGATAATACTGCCCTGATAAATTTGGTACACGGACAGTGAGAATCCGCTTCCCGGGTGTTTCTCTTTCGAGATTCATCCGCAAGTAAACATTGCCTTGTTGGCTCTTACAGGAGTCTCACGTTTGGGATCACACCTTTGTGAGGGTGAAACATTAACGGGCTCCTGATTTTTTGTGTGCACCGCCGAGCTGGCCGTTGCAGAAATCGATTTGTTAGGAGATCGTGCACGACCCCCAGTCTGGATGTTGGCTCGAAGCTCCTTCAACGATCCCCAGCTTTCCTTGACAAGCGCTTTTCCTCGATTCTCGGGTAGAGCACCGATACGGTTGTTCAGAGGATTCCTAGACTTGGGAAAATCCACGCTACGGTGGGGCTTTACCGAAGGTTCGGGACCTGAAATTGACGAAGGTTGGAGAGCAATATTACCTGCTTTTACCTCAGGCGTTGTTTTGGCCTTCGCATCCAAACTCGTTCGGATCTCGACGATTTCTTAACGGCCTCTCCCTTTAGCATTTCTCGTGCTTTTTGGACCAGGGCTCGGGCATGCGCACGCAAGGCGCGGCGCTTCTGGATTCGCTCCTCGAGAGTAGAACGGGTTCTTTTGACATGAACCCATTTGTTTGTTTCTGCTTCGGAGGAGGGGCTGGTTGTTTGCCGTGGTTGCTCCTGGCGTTGCCTGGATTTTAGATCCACGTTATAGCGGATCCCATCCATTGGCTCCAAAGCCTCGGCCAGCTGACGAGCAAGACGTTGACGTCGTCTTTGTCGTGCTCTCTTTGATGATGCTGGAGCATCTTCAGAAGCCATCTCCTCGGCGGAAGAGGAGTCCGGATCTGCGATCTCGACCACGTTGGACGATGCGGGGACGTCACGTGGTGTAAGTGCAGAGGCGGCAACGGGGTCTTGGATTTTCGAACCGAAGGACCTGCAAACATTTATGAAAGAGGTTACCTTTCTGTACCCGTTTGGAGAGGCGGATCTGGAGGAGGAGGAAGAGAGGCCTTCTTTGAACCGTTGTTGATCGAGCTCGTGTTCTTCATTCACCCCGATCTTGAGTGCTGGTTGCGTCACGACGGCGTCGGTTGCGATGCCGTTGGCTCCCACTGTGGTCGCCAGCTTGTTTGCGGAAAAAGTTGCTGTATTCATTGCTGCATTCATTACAACTTCAATCGTTACAATGAAATAAAAAGATAGCCTTTTTATAAGACCGGTACACAATGAAAACAAAAGAAATACAACTCTTTTCAAACAAACGCAAGATCTGTTTGTCATCTCTTGCTTGCGTGGGTCTTTTGCCTGTGACGGGGATGTTGATATCCGTGGACCACCGGGGCACTCAGATCTGGTCCGGATAAATCGGACAGAGTTTCGTTGATCCGCGTGAGATCTAGAAACTTTCTGATCCGGATAAATCGGACAGAGCTTCGTTTAACGCTAAAGGCTAATACTAAGGCTCGGACGGGTGATGAAGGCTCTGATCAAGACCTCTCCTCCTCTTGTTGAAGCACACGGGCACTCTTCACTGCAGCAGGGCTTCGCCAAGGCTCTCCAAAAATCCTCCCTCAAAAGCAAGGCCCAAGGGGGCTATTTATAGGCTCTAGGAGTAGGTAAGGGGGGTCTAGGGGGGTCCAAAAGGTGCGGACACCCCCCGAGACACCCTAGGGTGTCTCGGCTTGGCCGAGACCCCCCTGGGGTGTCTAGGTTTTTCCTAGACACCCCCGGGGTATTTCGGCGTGCCGGGACTCCGTTTAGGTGTTTCAGTTGTTTCCCCTGTAGATTCTTCGTCCGTACTCGGATTTGAGTGATTCCGGGTGCGTTGGATGCTTGACGAAGAGTTCGATCCGCTCTGGTGGTTGGATTATTTGTAGAGTGGTCGAGGTATGAAGGGCGTTGTCCTTTTTGTGAACAGTGCTGGGTTCCCCGATTGGTCCGGGTCTTCGTGGTTCCGAAGTCCTATCCGCTCATGTAGCTCGTCGATTCACTTCAGTCGTTCGTCGACGTCGATTAGGCTAATGTGGATCGGATGGGGATGTTCATCGTCGCTCGTTAACACTGAACCGTTTGTGGAGACCTATAGGCAATTTTCGATGCCTACAAACACCATAATTTGAGCAGCAACATTCACATTTCAACTCAAAAGAGAAAGACAGTTCATCCAGATCACCTTTGATTATTTAACTTAGCACAGACACTTAACTGTTCATCGTCGCTCGTTAACACTGAACCGTTTGTGGAGACCTATAGGCAATTTTCGATGCCTACAAACACCATAATTTGAGCAGCAACATTCACATTTCAACTCAAAAGAGAAAGACAGTTCATCCAGATCACCTTTGATTATTTAACTTAGCACAGACACTTAACAAGTTCTGTAAAGAGATGACCTTCCGTCTTACTAAGAACACAGAACAAATACGATTACATTGCAAGAAGTTAGTCAAACTTATACAATTAACTAACTCATCAATTGACTAAAATAAGATAAGATTGCAGAACAAACCAAATCCATCGTAGGTAGATGTACCACGGCCCAGCTCATCGATTATTACCAGCGACTTCTCAGTGGCGCCTTTCAAGATGGATGCAGTTTCAAGCATTTCTTGCATGAAGGTAGAAACCCCACGAAGCTGTACGACAAAATTAAGAAATGCAATAAGCCATACTACAAAATAGAGATAATAAAAATGACAGTGAAACATGCATAAAGGTGTGCCTCCAAAGGTACCAAAGGGTAACTACTATTTTGGTCTTTGATGGGCATGAGATTGCAGGGTTGCCTTCCCCTTCTGCCTTTTTAAACATTGCTCATCCCAAATAAAGATGAACATGGTCGTATTGTCTTACAGTAATATCAAGCATCATTTGCTTGTCCATTTCACAAGCTAGATGACGAAATTTCTCCTTCGTCTCTATATTTTGAAACGGGAAAATGTGTTGTTTCCAGCGAGACTTTGAACACCCTATCCACTTTTTCTCTTGTGGATATCTTCTGACAATTGAAGAGTACATCAAGATATAATTATTCTTACTTGCCAAGCTCTATAAATAAGATGACCAGTGATTGTGTAGGTTTGTGCTAATAGCTTGCTCGCACAAATAGAATGCTCTTTAAGCACTGTATGAGTAAAGCTTGTATGGTAATACTTTATCATGAGTCAGGTAGCCAATTAAATTTGACACTGAATATTATTTTCAAACTAATTCCATATCCAATAGTTTGCATAATCATAAAGATTATATGGCAAAATCACACTGTAAAAATTACTCAAATTTTATGCATTTTAAAACTAAATAAGCTAACAATTTATAATTAGTTCTCTACAGCTTGACGATACATAACCATGGGACCAGAGTTTGAAGCAAGCACTATCTTTTGAGCAAAACTCACTTGGCAATCCCCAGCCCCAACACGAGCGAATATGCAATCACGAATGCTAATGCTTGCCCTATCAGAAGGAACAAAGCAACCAACTTGTGCCATCAACACATTCGCGCCAACCTGCCATGTATACAATAATGTGAAAAGACACCTTAAGGACAATCATTTACTTCATAAATAATGAGGAAATGATGGAGAACAGAGGACAACTTCTCAACCAAAAAGGATAGCCTCTTTTTTTCTTCCTTTTTAACATAACTGATAAGTATGCGTGCATATGAGTCCTCTGATATCTCAGAATTCCGTTTTAAGTATTTGCTGTAACATCCCAAATTTTCCAGTAGCTTATCTATTTACAAAATTCCATTTTTTGGCTACTTGAACAAAATGTTAGGGGATTAAAAATGATTAGTGAACTAAAGTACATTTTTTAATGTAAGTGCAAATATTATTCTTATTTTGTGTCCTTGTGACATAGTGCCTTTGACAGGTTTATTTTACATTAACGCCTCCTCTTTTGCAAAGCTACATAAACAAGTATACCAATATAGGCTCTTGGCTAGCTACAGAGATTCATACATCTAAGCTTCAAAAGAGATAAGCTCAAAGGTAAAAAACTAAAAATTCTCTAACAAGCTAGATGTCATTTAAAAAAATGCTTCAGGACAAGGGACAAGGGCTCAAAGGAATAATTACCACCTAATTGGTCTCGCTAAGTGGCTAATTGGTTTTGAGACAAGTGCTAGCATGAGTCATTTGTAGGAAGCATGTGTGTCATCTTGCTAGAAGATTTAGCGCATAAGGAAATTAGCCAAAAGACCATTAATACCAGCATGTGGATGGATGTTGAAGAGCTAATGGATACTGTTACGAACAAGCTAGGGAAACAAAGAAAGAAAGAAAATTTGATGGAGCACTAGGGGATTAAAGGATTCTTGTCAAGACAAATCTTAGAGAAGGATTTTTATGTCAACTACAAAAGATTCAAGAACAAGCAAAGGTCAGCCTTTTGATCTTAAGGAATTTCATTGATTATATAAATTATATGTTAAAATTGTTATGAAAACTTTCAAATAGGAAAAGGAGAGAAAAGGATATTCCTAAGTGATCATATTAAGGTGAATATTTAAACTCTGAATGTGAAGATATAGAAATAGAAGTTTTGGTCGAGATCAACGATCATGTTGTATTCAAGTGAATTAGGCTCAAAACTCCTTAATGTAAATAACTAGGAACCTACCAAGACCACTGTTTAAAACATAGTTGTATGAAGGACCTGATAATAGCAGCAAACCCTTCTCCTGGACCAAATTTGGTTTGCAGCAACTTTAGATTGGCTGCAAAATCAGTTTGATGTAAACTTCCCTCACACAGAAATTGATGCGCAGCTGTCGAAAAATCACCATAACTTTTATTCCACACACCGGATTGATGTATCTGTTGCAGAATCTTAAACTTAACCTATAGACCTACAAGTCTATATAAAGAATTATAGGTTTGGAGTTCATTTGTAGCCTGAAATAGTCCCACAAACTGACTGAAATGATAACGTCCTGCACCCAGAATTCTGTACACGGCTGTGTTGTGAGAGGTATAACTCCCTATACAGAGGTCCAAATTACATGGAACTTGCTTCAGTGCAAAGTAGACTTATAGATCTTTCTTACAGTAAAATGTACTTGTGTTATTCTGATGTTTACTGTAGGAAAAAGCCATCCGAGATGACAGAATAGGAGCCATCCAAGATGACTGAATGGGAAATCACAAACCCCCTATCCTCATGCCTTACATGCCTTAGTCTTGAACACGTTTCAATTGATATCACTGACCCTGTAGGCCACAAACAAGTCCAGACCTATAACAGCTGAGGCATACCTGTGCAATATTTGATTTTGGAAGAAATTGATTTTAAATAGCATTCTAAGTACAACTGTTAGTCACAAAATGGGATGTCCCAACTGGAAATAGTCTAGTCGATTATCCTCTGTGTATGATAGAAGGATAAAGGTAACCGTGAAAGGCTAATGTCAATATATTATATGATTATGAAGGATCTTGGGGTATCGGACATAGCAATCAGATTGTGAGATTTGCTTGGTCATTCAGTAGGTAACACCTCCCTTGTTTTTCACTCATTCTCTTGGATTTTCATATGCAGCCTTGTGCTTTGAATATGATCTTATGAATGTCTAAGTCTGAATGCTATTGATCAATATCCTATACTTATGGACAATTTTCCTTTCGAATGATTATTAGTATTTGTCAATATCATTTGATAACATCTCACTATGACATTGGGGTCCATACAATTGTTGTCGATGTATCTTACTTTCATGCTCTATTCGGTAGACCAGTGTCCTGCGTGAAGCGAACTTCACCGGTGGTTTATAATTGAAGGCATGCATGTGATATAGTCCCATGATTAGGAACAACGCATAATCCTGCAAAGAGAGCATGGTTGTTGATTGATTGTTATTTTCATATTTCCATCCTCATATTTGAATATTTTACCATCTCTCTATATTTGATCACACCGATGATGCATCCCAAATTTTCTAGGAAGTTACCCGCTGATCCTTTCGCTCACCACCTTTTGTGTGGCTGCATTTGTTCGCAAGGAGGTACCAGAGAAAAGATAAGATAATGGTCAACCATGGGGTCACTAGGCAGAACATGTTCAAATGATTTCCCAGAGTGTTTTGCAAATTGTAGCAACAGATCTTATGGCTATCTAGGAGTTAAGCATTCCCCTAGCAACTCTCTGCTATAAAGGTATTCTACATAGACTCTGCTGTCAACTTAATAAGATTTTGGGAGTTACCATGTCAATAGTATGCACTTAATTTCTGAGAATCAATATATGTTCACGATATGGTAATTTGGATTAGGATTGATTATACAGGTTTAAGCCTCAATTGTACAGCTGTGTCATGCTGGAATTTTATAAATATTTGGGAATTTTGTTAAACTTTTAGGTCTTTTCTTGGTTGGGATGTTACATACCCACTTGAAGCTTTGACAAACTAGTTCTCTGTAGTCTGTCATTTTAAAAAGGCTTATTTTTCTCTTCAAGTAACATGTGTCCTATATTTACCTCACCTTTCATTATGAAGTTCGCAAATAATGACACCAAAGCATACCACATTGACCTCAGGGTTATATGAGACTTATCATGGAATAAATAAAAACAATATCCACTTCCTATGCTCAAAGCTCCAAGTGCATGAAATTTGCCATCTAGCAGCTACATTGAGAATTATCCAGATGATCGACGTATATAGAAAAAAAAAATTAACTACGTATTTAAACACCTGTTTTAATATATGACTAATTTTATCGTCATATTGGCTATTAATGTGCAGCTGTATTAGTACAGCATACAGCATAGAATAATCCGAGAGTAGCACTGTGTAGAAGGAACAAACATAAGAAAACACAGACAGTTAAAACCTTGTCAATCCTTCTTCCAAATATCAAGACTGAAACGTGTGATCAACACCATACACACTTGAAACTTCATCATATTAATAGAGATTGATGTGTCAATCAATGCTTTTGTCACAAACACATACATACCTGTCGTATAAAGGTGGATTTACCACCCATGTTAGGACCAGTGATAATCTGAAACCAACTCTTCCCACGCACCTAAACGGTAGAAGATATCAAGGGAGAAGACTAAGAATAATCTTCATTTTTCGGCGAAGATCATCTTTGAAAAGAAAAATTACATAGTACTTACTAAAGAACAATCATTAGGTATGAAATTGACTCCGTCCTGAGCCTCAACACAAGGATGTCGACTACCTTCTAGGATAATATCTCCTTTATCCTGTAATCAAACTCCGTAACTTAGATATAGTAAACTACTTAATATCATTACAAATCAATAAATACCAAAAAATATTTAAAAAAACTTACCGAAGGTGTAATATCTGGCCTTATGTATGGAATTGGACAACTTGTAGCAAGATCAGCAAAACTCAGTAACACATCAAGCTCAGAAAGAATAACAGCACAAGTCTCAAAGACCTAAGAGATTGTACTATTATTAATTTCCCATGCAGAAAAAAATTCATCTGAAAAAAAACTTGTGTTTCATATACCTCAGAAAAGGAAGCAGCAGTCTTAACTACTCGGCAAACTATATCTTTTTGTACTCTTGTATACTCATTCAGAATTTTCTGGTATTCATCTCCCAACTTTTTAAGCTTGGAATTGGTGAATTTCACCCCATCCTTACGAGTTTCCAGAACAATGAAATGGGTAGTGAGCTTTTTCCTCACTTTCTGCTCCTCTTTCTTCGTGATCCTGAGGACATGTCCAAATTGGGTACCTTTCTCCAACTTCAGAGCCTTATCAATAGACACATCCAGATCATTTGCTATTTGTTTGTGCAATTTGTGTATTTGTTCCTCAACCGTATTAAGTTCATCTCTCAGTGCAACTAAGTTGGAATCATAACTTGGTGATATCATGTATTCTCCGTTCTCAAGTTGATCAAGGTCTACCGCAACCTCGACAAGAGCTATAAATTTTCTCACTTTATTCTCATCCATCAAATCTTCCAGCGGCTCCAAATATTTTCTTCTTATCAGTGGTGAATATTGGCCTTCATAACACTCAAGAACACCTTTAATATGTGGAAGTCTAATGCATGACTGGATCAAAAGAGGTGATAAAATGTCAGAAATAAATGATATTTTCAATCAAAAAAACACTTGCGACTTAAAAAAATTTAGCGACTAATAAAAACATATGCATGGCAAAAGTAGATCTTTAAATAATATACATGCAAACATGAATGGAGCAGTTGCCCAAAATCAAGTTACATTTTCCATGTCTGTACATTTTGAATAGCATATATGAGCTAGTAAAGAAAAGAAACTGAGAACATGATATAAATATCAGAAAACTAGAAAATTGGTTGTTATATTTAGGTCATTCTAGCAGCCAACTGGCAAGAAAGCTTTATGACATTAATGAAATGAAAGCAAGGTGGAGATCACCTGATAAAGCTTTATGACTGGCAGCAAGCTAGGAGTTCGTTTCTTCAGACTATTCATCAATCGCTCTATGTCTGAAATTCTTTTCAAGTGTAGCCTCAGACCCTGGCGAAGTTCTGCATCATCCACAAATGCCTGAACAAGATCCAGTCTACAATTGATTTCTTCTACATCCAACAAAGGTTGTTTGAGCCACCTATTTAGCAATCGTTTGCCCATACCAGCTGTGCAGGTTCTGTTCATCAAACCAAACAAGCTAAAATTTTTGTTTGCATCTGTTTTGCTCTCCAAAACATTCAATGCCCTCATAGCTGCAGAATCCAATCTCATATAACTATACAGATTGTACTTGTGGATGGTATAACTTCCATAGTTGCTGTCATCTGCAAGTAATTCCACATATGACAATAATGCCCCCAGGGCACCCAATGCACATTCAAATTCAGAAAGTAAATCTCGAACCGGTTCAATCGGACCCCTTATGATCCTGCCAAGGTCCTGTACCAGATCTCTTGACTTGAACTCTGATTTCTTCCTCTCAGTCACGAGAACACCACATCTAGTCAGTGCATTACAAAGAGATTCCAATTCAATTGATTTTCCACTTTCTATAGGTAAGAGGCATTCCTTGCATCCAAGAGCAACCAAAACAGATTCCACATTTGTAAACTGGCTATCATCAAGAAATTCTGCCAGGCCCAATCTTTTATTTGTCAAATCCACAAAACCCAGTCCAACTGTATACTGATTATCCCGAAAGTTTGGAAATAGCGCAATTGTCACTGGCGAGTCCTGCATGTCAGTGTTGGCAAACAAAACATCTTCAAAGCAACCAATATTGCCAGGAGTCCCAGTTTTAGTCAACGTCCACTTGGAGCCACTTCCTTCATAAACCTCCATAGTATGATCTGTTCTCTCAAGCAAGATATCACGAGCTATTGTTTCAAACATATTTTTACTTACACTTACACTAGAAATTCCATCTGGACCACTACCCAGTTGTCGCAGAGCAGATGTTGTGTGATAATATGTCTTTGCAATGAAAGTGGCATTTTCACCGTGAGCAGTATAATAATCCTGACCAAGAGGTGCAACATCGACTAATATGAGGTTGATAATCAAATAAACAGAAGCCCAACACTTTCAATTATGTGAAAAGGTTTAGAAGCATCAATTATCAGGAAAATCGGGACCTAATGACCATTTCCACATATTAATTGAATGATGATTAACATCTGAAAACCCAGATGTTGGTCACATACTTGCTTCAGTAATTCACCCCCTCAAGTATAACTAAAATACAAACTATTTTTATTAACATCCATGCATATAAATGCGTTTTAAATTTAAAGAAATGTTATTTTTTCCTCTGTAATCTGCGTGTTCCAGTGATGGAAAAGAGAGAAGTTTAAGTTAGTCACCCACTCATCTCCTGTATTTAATTTTTATTAATCATACGACTAATATATTTTACTTTGTTTTTTTTTCACTTCAGTTACACATGAGCTTCCACGCATCAAGCAATTAGCATATATAATAAAAAGTTTTAATTGAATTGCCTGACATAGAATGCCAGCACAAGAAACGGCAACATACTTACAAAACAATACCATTAATCAAAATAATAAGTTCGAAACTGAGGGAAATACGTAATAGAAACCCAAATCATCAAAACTAAAACCCAGAAATAAAGTTAGAGATAAACACTCACCCGGCGATCAAAGAAACGAACAGCCCTTGCATCCTACAAACATTTAAACCAAAAAAAATAAGCACCTTTTTAGGGTCAGGGAACAGATTATTAGCAGATAAATAAAAGATCATTCAAAAGTTTACTAACGCGGGGTAGGGTTTTGAAGAACGATATGAAACCCTGCGCTTGCTTTGCATCTGGACAAAAGAGGGAAAATAAATTATCGGACTGGAAAAGGAAAAAAAATCCGCTAAAAATGAGGGGCTTTGGGGTAGACTCTATGTTTTTTGACCTAATTTGAGCTCCGGTAGCTTGAATTGTTCCTCCGATGAGAAGTCCCCCTCCATTTTTACCGTGATTTGAGAGAAGAAATAGAAAATGTGGGGTAATTTAGAGGTTCGGGGATTTGAGTAACAATTTTTTTGCGCTTTGTTGGCTGATTTTATTCGGGGGTTGATTGGGGAGCTTGGCGGCAGGTGGCGGGAGAGGCGTATCGTTGGCGGGAAAGCAAAATTAGGGGTCTGGGATTCGGGAACGAAACCGGTGCGACCTTCACTTCCCTCTTTTCCTGGGGAAAAAATTGTGTCGTAGCCCCAAATTTGAAAAGTCAATGCGTCTCGTGCCCTCATACTTTTTGCAATTTGTTGCAACTCCTAAAATTTAAAAAAAAAATATGCCTAAGCCCCTCGAGCACATGATTAGCTAATATTCCAATTTTATCCCTCTTCTCTTTCTCCTTCTCCTTCTCCTTCTCCTTCTCCTTCCTCATCCTCCTTCCTCCCCGGCGATACTCCACTAGCGATCCTCTTCCACCGGCAATCCTCCTCCTCGTCTCCTTCTCCTTCTCCTTTCTCATTCTCTCCTCCCTCATCCTCCTCCTCCTTCATCACCGCGATCCCCCAGTCCGTCGCCGACTCTGCATAGGCTCCACCGAAATCGACTCAATCTCTCCTCCCCTGGCGATCCTCCAGTTCCCCGGCGATCCTCCTTCCTCCTTCCTCATTTTCTCCTTCCTCATTTTCTCCTCCGTCATCCTCCTTCCTTTTTACTCGTCTCTTTTCTCATTCTCTCCTTTCTCAATCCCATCATTCAATCCCAAATCTGACTCTCTCCAATCTCCACTATACTGGAGTTTCCCCCTAGCTCCTCACCCGAAGAAATTTATAAAAAATTCGTTCTATCTTCAAGCCCCATGGAAACGCGTGGTTATGCTTTATTCATTGGAAGCAACCGGTCTACGTGTATATCTAGCCGAAATGTTGAGTAAATTGGCTTTTGTTTAAGATTTTATTATATATAGGCCATTTTTGTTAGCTTGAAAATTATACGTAATTTGTACATGATGCGTTGATAATTGAGAAATAAAAGCCTACATACGAAAATGCTCATTTAAAATAATGGATGTATAAATATGATGCTCATGTGTGAACGTTCTCATTTAACATGTTAACTATAATACGTAGCATGTTAACCTTAATTGGTAAAAATTAATAACTATATCCGGTAAACTGTTAACTATAATCAATTATATGTTAATTGTTATTTATAATCTGTTAATTAACACACTTATCCTGTTAACTATTTTTCATTATATGTTAACTGTTATTTATAAATTGTTAACTATAATCAATTATCTGTTAACTGTTATTTGTAAACTGTTAACTATAATTAATTATCTATTAATTGTTATTTGTAATTTGTTCTCATATAAAGAAACACAGTTAAGAAGATAGTTAACAGTTAACATATTAATGTGAACGTTCTCAGTCAGTTAACAATTTATAAATAACATTTAACAATAGTTAACAAGATAAGGGTGTTAGTTAACAGATTACAAATAACAGTTAACAGATAATGGATTATAGTTAATATTTTATTAATAATAATTAATAGATAATGATTAATAGTTAACATGATAATGGTGTTTGTTAATAAATTACAAATAACAGTTAACAGATAATGGATTATAGTTAATAGTTTACTGAATATAGTTATCAATTTACCAATTAAGGCTAACATGTTAACATGTTAAATGAGAACGTTCACACATAAGCGTGATATAGAACCTTGAGAGTAGACAGGATCCAAGTCGATTCGGCGTCTACAGTAAGCATTGTCCCCTTGAAGCACATCAAGCACTTGGGGGTGCCTCAAAAGCGGTTGTCTTTGACGACCACCACCATCTTTGGATTCAACGCTACCAGAACCCGGCCGCTTGGGAAGATTCATCTTAAATGTCAACTGGGTGACATAAAAACTAAGGTGACTTGCTATGTCATTGACGCAGAACCCTCCTATAGCATGTTGTTGGGCCAACCATGGATCCATAGCAACAGGATAGTCACATCCATATTAAATCAGTGCTTGAAATATGTGGCTGATTGTGACCAAGTGAAGACGGTGGTTGCAGATAAATAGCCTTTCAAGGGAGTCGAAAACTACTTCACTGATTCTCTGCTCTACCAGGACCCATAGCCAAGCAACGAGCCTCTGGTCGATGAACCTTGTAGCGACAATGAGCCTGATAGTGAGCCAGAGAGCAATAAGAGTCTCGTTTTTAACGATATTGAACTCATTGTGATTGGCTATGAAGGCCTTGTTGTAACCGACATTAATGAAGTGGATGGATTTTTTCTTAAGTGAAAATCTCGCATTTGCTTATTTGTCGTCCGGTTCAGAACCTATTGATGATGGGTTTAGCAACTCGATCTCAAGGGTGTATAACGACTCTACCATGCACTTGCCTGTGTACTCCTCATTTGTCACTAACAAGCAAATGATCGAGTCCTTGCAAGCTGTCTTTGTCATACCTACATGAAATATTTCTTAGCAAGAGATTATCTTCGGGAGGATAGACCAGCCCGCACGCACATTATGGGACGAGTCAGACGAAGAAGAACTTGCTCCTCAATTCTCATGTTAAAACACATGATGGAGAGGATGGGTTATGAGTTCATTCGAAAGGAAGGCTTAAAGTATGACAAAGGCTAGAAGACGCCCCTTCGACCTGCCTATGTCCCCAGAGGGAAGCCTGACAATTACTATGTCAAAACTTGAAGAGGGTTAGGTTACTCCTCTTCCTCAGAGTTGTACTGCAATTTTGATGGAATATTTGATGATGCTCGCTCAGATAATCAATCATCAACATCCTCGACTTGGGATTTAGATGTCAGCATCGGAGCCTTGTTCAAGAACCTGACAGTCAACATGGCTATGATCGATCCCGCTAAAGTCCAAGAGGACGAACAAATTACACTTTATGATGAAGTATGGGATCGCCACGTCAGTGCCCAGTGGAGTGGTCGCTTCGAACGGCATGAACCACCCACGGAGGACAAGATCCTTTAAATTAATGTAGGAGATAAGGCAAACCCTAAACCCATATTCATCAGCGACAGCTTACCTCCCAGGAGAAGAAAGACCTCATATACCTCATACTGGAATATATCGATGTCTTCGCATGGAATTATGAGGACATGCCTGGCCTGGATCCTCAGATCGCCATGCATCGTCTCAACATCGGCTCAGGCGCCAAACCTGTCAAGCAACAGCAGAGACGGTTTCGTCCATAAATCATGAAGGCGATCGAAGCCAAAGTGAAGAAGCTAATCGAATCAGGCTTCATCAGGGAGGAACAATACCCCTATTGGGTGGCTAACATTATTCTCGTCTTGAAGAAAAACGAAAAAATTTGCATCTGCATCGACTTTAGAGACCTTAACGCTGTATGTCCTAAGGATGAATTCTCTTTGCCCATCACGGATGTCATCATCGACAACACATGTGGTTTCGAGAGGATGTCCTTCATGGATAGATTCTCAGTATATAATCAGATCAAGATGCACCCTGAGGACGAGAAACACACTTTGTTCAGGACTCCGGTGGGGGTATACTATTACACAGTCATTCCCTTCGGACTCAAGAATGCTGACATAACCTATCAGCGCGCCAGAGCACCATTTTTTGAGATCATCTGTAGAAGATAGTCGAATGCTACGTGAATGACCTGGTTGTGAAGAGTTGCGACAAAGTCAATCACCTTCAAGACCTGAGAGTCATGTTCGACATCATTTGCTCCCATCAACTAAAGATGAACCCTACAAAGTCATTTAGGCATGACGAGTGGCAACTTCCTCGGATTCGTTGTCATGATGAAAGGGATCCACATGGACGCAAATAAGGTACGAGCTATCCAAGAGCTCCAACCGCCCAGAAATCTCAAGGAATTGAGAGGACTACAAGGACATTTGGTATACATCCAAAGATTCATCACAAATCTTTTGGGCAAATGCCAACCCTTCTCCAAGATGATGAAGAAAGGTGTTTCCTTCGTATGGGACGAGCCTTGCCAACAAGCGTTCGATGAGATCAAAACTTATCTCTTGAATCCACCTGTCTTAGCGGCCCCTGTCTCGGGGAAACCCATCCTAATCTATGTAAGAGCAATGGAGCATTCTCTCGGCTCCCTTTTAGCACAGAATGACAATGCCGATCATGAGTAAGGCATCTACTACCTGAGTAGGACCCTGTAGGGAGCTGAACGGTGATATCCTATGGTCAAAAAGGAATGTCTGGCTCGAGTGTTCGCAATTAAGAAAATACGACACTACTTGGTCAGTCAAACCATTCATGTCATCTCCCGGATGAATCCCATTCGAGTCTTCATGACACAGCCCGGGTCCTTGAACTAGTGCCTGGCGCGATGAGCACTCTTGCTTTCTCAATACGACATCTACTTTATGTCGCAGAAGTCTGTCAAAGGACAAGTGATCTACGATCTCATGGCCAGTCATCCGCTCGAGTCGAATACTGACCTATTTAAAGACATGCCAGACAAAACCCACGAGGTTAATGCAACCTTGCAAGAAGAAGCCCGACGACTATACTTCGATGGTGCTTCTCACGTGGGTACCAATAGGTTTATCGTCGTAGGTATGGCGGTAGTCCTGGTTTCTCCGTAAAACCATGTACTACCCCGAGCTTTCTATTTAACAAAGACCTATATTAATAATATGGCTGAGTACAATGCGCTACTCATCGGACTCAACTTTGCTAAAGAATTAGGGGTAAAGCATCTTGAAGCTTTCGGTGACTCTCAGCTCGTCGTCAGACAAATGACGGGAGAATATGAAGTCAGAAATGATGACTTGATCCCATGTCACCAAGCGGCTATCAAGCTAGCCGAATCATTCGACAGCTTTCACATCAAGCATGTGATCCATTCTAAGAACACACATGCAGATGCATTAGCGTCATTGGCAGTTAACCTAGCCCAGCCACTGGGGACGAGCCAACAAGTCACCGTCGTAAGCCGACAACTCTACCAACCGGAGTATGCTGTGGAGGTGAATACAACTCACCAAATTTTAGGCCAATCCGAACTAAGAGATTGGCACTTCCTGATCATCGACTATGTCTTGTATGGTATATTACCTAAAGACATCAAGGAGTGAGACTCTGTTCGTAGACGCGCACTGAGATTCTACTACGATGCAACCACAAAGGCATTGTATCGTAAATCGTACGATGGCATGTTGCTTCAATA